GAGGGCTCCCCTGGGTAGAGACATTGCACACGTGCCACTGCAGTTCCCCGCTGAAGGAAGGAGCCCGTTCTGGGGGGCCCCTCCAAGAAGGAAGATCATAGGAAGACTGTGCCTGATGTGTCTTTTTCTCTTGCTGATCCTGCTGTGTATCGTTTCACTGTAATAAATCTTAACCGTGAGTACAAGTATATGTTGAGTCCTCTAGTACAACACCAACCATGTGGATGCTGACAGGATCCCCAAAACAAACTCTCAAAGGTATGTAATGTGACTCGAATTTCATAAATTTAAAAATTGGCCAGGTGTGGTGGCTCACACCTGTAATCCTAGCACTCTGGGAGGCCGAGGCTGGAGGACTGCTCGAGGTCAGGAGTTGGAAACCAGCCTGAGCAAGAGCAAGATCCTGTCTCTACTAAAAATAGAAAGAAATTAGCCGGACAAGTAAAAATATATAGAAAAAATTAGCCAGGCGTGGTGACGCATGCCTGTAGTCCCAGCTACTCGGGAAGCTGAGGCAGGAGGATCGCTTGAGCCCGGGATTTTGAGGTTGCTGTGAGCTAGGCTGACGCCACCGCACTCTAGCCCGGGCAACAGAGCAATATTCTTTCTCAAAAAAGAAAAAAACTATAAATTTAAAAATATGAAGAATGTGAAAGTTAAGAGATATAGACATGGTCACTCAATAAGTAAAGGAGCTGAGATCTAAATCCAGTCGATCTCCCTTCAAAGACCACTCACCGCTCATTTCATCATGCCAGGCAGCCACACTGAAGGACATACATTCCGGGGCCTGGCAAGCTTCTTTGTAAGGCTTGTACAAGGCCTACTAGCTACTGGTGAGCTATGCAAACGTGGGAAAACATCTTAAAGGATTTGAACCTCAGATTTCTTCACTATAAAACTGTAATAATAATACCAATGTCATAAAATTTCTGTGAGGATTTAATAAGATTATACACATAATATATAAATCATATGTGTAAAGCACATACATATTAAATATGCAATATATTAAAATCTATAAAGTCTTTAGCCTAGTGCCTGGTACACAGAACATGCCAATAAATTAAAAAACTAGATAAATATGCACATATGTATAAATATGTATATATACAAGTACACACATATATACATAAATATGCATGCAAGTTAATTACTCATCTAACAAGTTCTGCCCTGATTACAGAGCATCCTTTACCAATCATAGATGAAGCTAGTTAGGATTTCATAAGTGGGCTTGATTTTTTACACCTACTCGTTTCACTCTAGGGAACCACTTTTATCCAGACACCTTCTGCTCAAAGCCTAAAGGCTGATTATCTTTAATGTTTAACCTAGGAAATTAATTATTAGCCAGGCAATTCAGAGCTTTGCTTAAGACACTAACTGGTACTTATCATTAGCTCTAACATACACAGATGTGGTGGCCAAATTTTTATAACTCCAAGTTAGAACCTGTGATCTAGCAGTGAATTGCTGTGCTGGGAAACTGGAACTCCTCTGGAAACCCCAGCTTTCATACAGAGACTATTCAATCCTCCTAAAAACATGGAAAGCATACTTCTGTGGTTAAGATTTGTTATAAATAATACAATTTACATTATACCTTTTTGACATTTATGTTCCTAGCATTACAAAATTACACTATAGGCCACATACGGTGGCTCACACCTGTAATCCTAGCACTCTGGGAGGCCGAGGCGGGAGGATTGCTTGAGCTCAAGAGTCCGAGACCAGCCTGAGCAAGAACGAGACCCCGTCTCTACTAAAAATAGAAAGAAATTAGCCAAATAACTAAAAATAGAAAAAATTAGCCGGGCACGGTGGCGCGTGCCTGTAGTCCCAGCTACTCGGGAGGCTGAGGCCGGAGAATCGCTTGAGCCCAGGAGTTTGAGGTTGCTGTGAGCTAGGCTGACGCCACGGCACTCCAGCCTGGGCAAGAGAGTGAGACTCTGTCTCAAAAAAAAAAAGAAAAAAGAAAAGAAAATTACACTGTAATTGAAGTGTAATTACTCATTTCTTGGAAACCCATTTGGCAACCATTCATGGCATCCTCTATCTTCTCTCTAAAGTCAAGGATATACGGTGTGAGTCAGTAGTAGTATGAGGCCGATTTTCTCCTAGAACTTGGTATCTGAATTTTTCTGTCTGGAGCAAAGATGACAGAATCAACTCTAACCCAAACATTTCATTTTTCACCCCAGTCACTCCATCCAACTGCAAGTTCACACTTACTAGCAGTAACATCCATTTGGACATTACTACCTGACTGGCCTCAAACAAATTATTTATCCTATAGGTGCCTTCATTTCCTAATCTGTAAAATGATGATAATAAGCATACCTATTACACAAACCTAGATGGTATAGCAAAGAAAAAAAAAAAGAAACACACCAAAAAACCCCAAACCAGAAAACCAAAAAAGACCCTACAAAACCAAAACCAAACAAAAAAGAATACCTACTCTATAGTTAACAATACTGTACAGTACACAAAAAAATTTGTTAAGAGTAAAATGATTAGAACAGTGCCTGGCACATTGTACAAAATGAATAAACGAATAAAATATATAGTACATCTTATACTGTTCTCTAATTGCTTCTCTAACCATCTTATAGTCCCAAAAAGACTATGACCTGTTTAAGGCCAGGATCCACAGTGGCACTATGCTTTCCTGTCCATCTTCCCTCCCTCAGTGAACTTAACCAGCACTAGACATATTAGGTCAGCAGAGAGTTGTGAGTCCAGTCATGGCAGAATTGCACAGGAGAAAACACCCCAGAATACACTGAGTGCCACTCCAACTAACACCTCTGGCTCAGTGGCTTTCAAAATATTTGACCCCAACACACAGTGACAAATAATTTTTAGGTCGCAACCTCATACACACCTCAATATGTTTATATAGTATATATCTAACTGAAATAAAAATTTTGCAAAACAATGCTTATCCTTACAACATAAAATATGCTCTAATCATATATAATTATACCTAGTTCATTGCCTTTCAAACTTTAATGTGCATTTGAATCACTTGGGGATCTTGGGGGTCAGGTTTAACAGAACATGAGTAGGCTCAGAGAGTCTGCATTTCTATCATGCTTCCAGGTGACACCATGGGTCCCTACACCACACTTGGAGTAGTAAGAGTCTAGTCTAGTCTATTGAAAACTTTATTTTGAAAAGCTGGGAATGGTTCTCTGATTTTATTTCATGACCTACTAAGTGGTTGCAATCTGCAGTTTGTAAAACACTGCTCCAAATAATTTCTTAAGTTTCTTTCAACTCTATAACCCTGCTGTTATCTTCCTAACCTTGGGATAAAATTCCTGGACCTGGGTATAAATGGGTTAGGAGAGGTAGCTCATACAAGAATGACTCAAGGCTCATCTTTCACACTCTCAGGCTGAAATGCCTGCCTGGTTCCCAGTCCTTTCTTCACTGTCTCAAGTGTACGCCGCGCAGCTCTATTAACTAACTGAGCACTTACTAAGAGCAGGGCACTGAACCAAGTGCTTTATATCTACCACATTTACTCCTACCACCCCCTTATGACATTATCCCCATTTTACAGATGACAGAAGGTAAGCAGGTAATAATGGGTGGAGCTGGGATTCCAGAGGCTGTGTTCTTGTGACAGCCAGCCTCCACGATGGCTCCAACGATCACTGCCCTCCTGGTATTCACGCTCTTGTGTAGCCCTTTCTCACACTAAATAGGGCTGACCTGGTAGTCAATAGATTAATGAAGAAATGATAGTATGTGACTTCCAAGGCTCATTTAGAAAGAAACATTGTGGCTTGTCTTTCATTCTCTTGGATCAACCTCTCTCTGGAAGAAGCCAGGTTGTCACATCATGAGAATTCTCAAGCAGCCTTATAAAGAAGTCTCCTGCCAACAGTCAGGACCAACTCGTTAGGTAACAAGTGAGCCGTTGTGGAAGCCTCCAGATGACTGTAGCCCCAGCTGATACCTTGACTGCAACCTCCTGAGGGAGGCCAAGCCAGAATCATCCAGCCAAGCTTCTCCCAAATTCCTGACCCACAGAAACTGTGTGAAATAACACACCATTAAGTTTTTGGAGTAATTTGTTATATAGGAAAAGAAAACTACACTTGTCCCTCAGTATCATGGGGGATGGGATCGTTTCTAGGACTACCCTTGGATACTAAAATCTGTGGATGCTCAAGTCCCTGATAAAAAATGGCATAGTATTTGCATATAACTTGTGCACATTCTCCTGTATACCTTAAATCATCTCTAGATTACTTATAGTACCTGATACAACATAAATGCTATGTAAGTAGTTGTTACACTGTATTTTTTAGGGAATAATGACAAGAAAAAAAGTCTGTGCATATTCAGTACAGACATAATTTTTTTTTCAAATATTTTCCATATGTAGTTGGTTGACTACATGGATGTGGAACCCACAGATACAGTGGGCCAAATGTAATACAGTTCTTAACCAATAAGTTATATTGCATCACTATAATTCAACCTTAAAAGGAAAGTGAAACTTTTATGAAGGCCCTTTGGAATAACTCTCCATTGTGGCAGCTTGTACTGCGGTTCAGGAAATTTTCATTCTCCCCTCACAACCAACCTTGTGGGAGGCATGCACTGCACAAGTGCATGAGTATTAGACTTGATTACATGATTTTCTTTAGCCAGTTGGATGTGGAGTTGTGATGTTATATCACATCGAGCAAAAAATCTTTGAGGCACTACAAGAATCTGCCTGCCTTCTTTAGCTTCTGCAGTCATCTGTAAAAACAATCCATTCAAGACAGTGGATATTCCTTTAGCCTGGGTCCCAGAGTGAGAAGGTGTGCAACACAGACCTGAACTTGCCCCTCAGCCTGGAGACAAGCCAAGGTGAACCCAAGCAGAGGTGCAATTGACTTACAGACCCATGAGCAAGAAGTCAGTGCTGTTATTGTAAGACGTAAGATTTGGGGTTTTTTATTATTGCAGCAAAAGCTGACTGATACACTCACCATGCTGTATGATGCCATGCTCCATAAGCCGGTGGCAAAGCTGCTCTGCCTCTTTCCTTGTAGTGGCCTCACCTTCCTGAACCAGCCAATCCAGGAATTCAGATGCCATGAATGTGCGCTCATACTTGACTCCTTCCTCCTCTCTGGGCTGCAGGAGTGTGTTTTCTGGGCTCATCAGCCTGGAAGGAAGAAAGGGGAAAAGAAAAATAAAACAATCCTACACAAAAGGAACACAGCTCATTTCAAATCCTACATCATAGGCTTCAGTGAAGTATCACAGCAAAGTTGTCAAACAGACAGATGTGGCTGTCATGTGCTTCCACACATGTGATTTCTAAGAGGAGGATCTGCTTCAGAAGTGAACAAGGTGCATTTTCTCCTGGTAATTAGAAAAAACTGGAAATGCAATCCAAAACTGTACCATTAGCAGACTGCATTCAAGCTAGCAATCTCAAAAAGGACCATGCCCTACTCTACCATTCTGAAAAGGTTAGTATTTCTTTCCTAAAGGCATTATTTCATTTCCCAAATCACTGGGCCAATAAGAAGACTACCGCTGTGGACTGAGTGTTTATGTCCCCACAGATTTCATATGTTGAATCTGTAGTCCATAATGTGATGGTATTTTGAGATGGGATGCCTTTGGGAGGTCATGACTGTGCAACCCTCATTATGGAATTAGTGCCCTTATAAGAAGAGACATAAGGGAGATAGCTTGCTTCCTCTGTCTCTCTGCTCTCTCTCTCCCCATGTGGGGACATAGCAAGAAGACAACTGTCTGCAAACCAGAAAGCAGGTCTTCGCCTGACACTGGATCTGCTGGCACCTTGATCTTGGACTTCCCAAACAAATGTTTGTTGTTTGAGTCACCCAGTATATGGTATTTTTTGTTACAGCAGCCTAAACTGACTAAGACAACTACCTAAGTCACTCCTTTACAATCCTCTCATGCCACACAGCTTGCTTCTTATACCAGTATTCCCAAGCATTGCTCAACTCCTCTGGATTCTGTCCTTACATCTCCAAAATAGCTCCAACGGGGGCCATGGTGTTCTCCCATGCATCCACATATGATGCCATGTGACATAAATGGAAGTCCTCATTTTGGATGGCATTAATACCATTGGATGCTACTGATCACTGCCCTCAGCCAGACGGATGTCACACTCCACTGGTTTCCCTCCTGTCCCTCTGCTCCTACCTCTTCCTCAGCTATCTTTGAGTTTGCTCTTCTTCATCTCCCTGGACTTCAAAGGCTGGAGTTCCTTGGGTTCAGTCCCCAAATACCTCTTTTCTCATTCCACAGCCTCTTGGGTGAGCTCTTTCATCCCCATGACTTCTGTCACCATCCATTTCCCAAGGATTCCCAAATTTAAATCCCCAGACCAGGCTTAAACTCCCAACACCAGACCTTTGCATCCATAGAGACATCTCAAAGACACCTCAGAATCAACAAGCCCCAAACTGAACTCATGTTCTTCACCCCCCAGACCTGGTCCCGTGCCAGTCAGTGATTCCACACTCCGCCAGAAAAGGAAGCACTGTCCTCGACGCCTGCCCTTCCTCGTCCCCTGCCCAGGCTGTCACTATGAACTGTCAATTTTATCTCCTGAATCTCTCTCGGGTATGTCTAGGCCTTCCCATCTCAAGCACTGCCACTACCTTAGCTAAATTACCAATAGCTTTAACCTAGATGGCTAGTGTTTTCTTAATAGTACTATACTATGCATCCCAACCTTGAGCACCTAAGTCCAGACATAGCAATTAAATGATGTTTTTAAAATTCAAACCTAATAATGTCTAGCCCCTGTTGAAAACACACTCTGATGGCTTCTCATTGCTTTTAAGATAAAGACCAAAATCCTTTACATGGGCTATAACGCATGCATGCTTCTGCCTCCTGTCCCATTAGAACCATTCTCACCTCATATCTCTGTGTGCTCCAGAGATGCTGATCTTCTGTCAGTTCCTCATGCTTGGTCTATCACGGGGCCTTTGACTATGTCATTCCCAAGCCTGGCATGGTCTCTCCCTCTTCTACCCACCATTTGCCCACTCGTCAGGCCTCCGTAACTCCCTGTTCTTTGCATCTCAGCTATGGTCAGGTCTCTACTAAGCCATCTCATTGCTCCATGTACAGTTTTTATCAGACTAAAGACTATTCAGTTATAGGCTTCCACAGGGTAGAGTCCATGTTTGTCCATAAAACTTCATTAAATGAAAAATGGAACCTTATAAAATACCACAGTCATTGTGCCATCTTCCTCTGTAAAACTATTTCTGATGAGTTCCTGTCTTCCATATGAAAGTTTGGCTCTCTCTTTTAAAAACCTCATTTCCTCTGAAACTAACAATAATATGCAATACAAAATGAACTGTTTCATTCTATGAAAGGAAGAATCCTTGGAGATCATTGTAGTCCAAATCACTCTTCATCCACATGAGAAAAATGTAGTTCTTATCCAAATGAGAAAAATTGAAGGACAGCATTCAGTGTAGCAGGAAGGAAACTTGCTCAAAGTCATGGAAACATGCACTTTATACTTGTCTACCAATCATTTCATTTGGAGGTAATTAAACCTGCGTACTTGAAGGCCATATGACACTCACTGTGAATGCTTTTAGACTTAGATCCCAGCCATGCTGTACAAAGAACACTGCATTAGGAATTAGAAGATTTAAGTTTATCTTCAATGGGTCACAGTAGCTTTGAGACATAAGGCAAGCCATATTTCTTTGTTTCAGCCTCATTTTTCTCAAGAGTATCATGGTATCATCATCCAGCTATTGTTAGAATCATAGGTGAGTGTGAGTGAAACAACTTTTCAATACAAGACAGTATATGCACAGTATATACAAAGTGTTACACTATGTTAAGTAATCATTGTGCCTACATTAGGGCATGATGAATTTCTGCCTAATAGTTATGAACTGATGAAAATGGGACTCCTTCAAGATCCCGCTTCTCTTCCTAGAAGAATCATGAGAGTTTAACTTGAAATCCATGGACAGGCCATTGGATTAGACAACAGGAGACTTGGGACCCAAACATCTCTCTGCTGAAAACTAGTCAGGTAACTTCTCACTGCTTCAGTGTCTCCGACCACATATTAAACAAGGAAAATAATGATACCTGCTCTACTCCCTTCACTGGATTTCTGTTATTATCAAAAATCTTTTGAGGGGAAAAAAGTTCTAAGTACATAAATGTATACTTTTATATTAAGAGTATTTATAAAAGCTATTAGCATGTAACCAAATGCATTTAAAACCTTATTCAGCATGTAAGGGGACTCACTTAAAAATCTTATTTAGATCTTTTCCCAAGTCAACCCTCCTCAGCATTTTAATCCATATTTAGAAATAGCCATTAGGCTGTTTTCCCAGAGTTAGTAACAGCTAAGTTGGTGTGAGCAATAAGCATTCTATTTAATGTAATAATGGACAACCCTTTCATAGAAGGTGCAAAGAACAACCACCACATGCACGTCAACACAAGGGACAGACACATAAAGACATTCTATAGGAGATTATGTGCAAAGGTGGCCACAACAGCTCCTCTCATACTTCTTTCCAGTGTGACTTCACTGCTTCTTTCACAAAGAGGTTGAGTCATTTCAACTTCCCTTGGACCTAGGCTGGCTTTGTGACTTGCTCTGACCCACAGGATGCAGCATAAGTGACATTATGCAACTTCTAAGGCAGGGCTTTACGAGGCCTTGCAACTTCTGCCTTCTCCCCCTGGAATGCCCTCCTGGGACTGCCGTGTAATGGAGTAGGTCCAGCCTACTGGAGGAGAAGAGGCCACAGGGAGAACCCAGGTGCCCAGGCAAATGGCAGGCACCAGCTCTCAGATATGTGCATGAGGCCATCCTGGACCTTCCTGCCCAGATGACCCTCCAGCAGCCATACGAATGAGCCCAGGCAAAAGCAGTATAGAAGAGCTGTCCTGCAACCCACAGAATCAGAAGAAAGAACACACCATTGTTGTTTTAGACTACTAAATCTTAGAGTGGTTCATTTTGCAGGAATAGATAACTGGGACACATTCATATCAAGGGAAAGTGGCAAAAATATGTGTAACTCTGCACAGAGACACGTCACACAGCTCAGAAAGTACCAAAGGAATGATGGATGCACAAAGGAAGGTCCTGGAAATAAACTGCACAGAATAAAGTCATGTGGAGCTAGACCTAGGAACCTGCATTAGTGATGAGAATCCAGAAAAGAGAATGGAAAGACCCATATGTGTGCCCAGATAAGTGTGCCCAACCCCATTCCTTCATTTCTTTTGACCCACGAATAAGGTATTTGGGGGTGAAAATAGAGAACAAATTAGCCACCTAGTTTCCCGGTTTTAGACATTACTTCCTCTAAGACATTTCTGATTACTACATATCTGGACTACGTACCACTTCTCAGAGCCGTAGGGAAATCACTTGTGCACTTGACTATAAGCTTTTTGAGACCAGAGTCCCTGTCCATGAGGTTTACAGATGTTTCCTAGCACGATAGGTTTTCAAAAAGTATTTGCTGAATGAATAAACTCATTTGTATGCATTCCCCTGCTATACATCATTATCCAATTTTATATTAAAAATGACCTCCTAAGGATGACTCTGTGTGGAAATGAGGCAAACCAAGGCAGTTCTTGCACAACTGACAGTCTCCATTTAAGACACAGACACAGACTCTTGGCTTCTAACCACTCTGTCCCTTCAAGCTCAGCGATTTTCCTTTCAGGGAGTAGGAAGGACAAGTGGATGGGGTTAATTTGTATCACTTCTTGTAACCAGAAACATGACCCACCAGCCCTCTAGAGCTCCTGCTAAGTAGTTGGTGGCCTCTGGACAAGTGGCTGGTGAGCTGCGTCTGCCAGTGTAGGCTTTGGGAGTGAGGCCAGCTGGCAGGCCTTTCTGGACTGGCTGAGTTTGCCTTTAAAACATGCTCCGCCACCCTTAGCACTTCCTCGCTTCATTTCCCCTTATAATCAAGTCATGTCCCCAGCCAGCTTCCTCACTTCAAGACCAAGTCTTTCCTGGGATTTGATTTTAGGATTTACATGCAGTCAGAGAATTAAAGTAAGAATTTCCCTGCCTGAGCAAGAGTGAGACCCTATCTCTAGAAAAAAATAGAAAAATGAGCCAGGTGTGGTGGTGTGCACCTGTACTCCCAGCTA